TAGACTCTCCCTTGACTGCATGGCGACGACCCTACGACGCAGTGCAGTTGCACTGGGGTCCTGCTGTTTGACCTCGCCACTTGTCCTCGTCTACAACATGGGCTTGCTTTAGTCACACCACTTGGCCACTTGCCTGCACCACTTGACCACTTGCCGACCTTCTAGAAGGACTGCAGCTAGACTTCTAATCTACAGGTCTACAGATCGAATCCTGGCTACCTATAGACCTACGACAGACCTACTTACCACTGGCGGTTCTACAGGTTGCAGGTTCAATTCTTCGAGTTGACACAGGTATTGTACACAGGTAAGTTGGGGAACTAGGGATCGAGCCCTGGGATCTGCATCAGCTACTTCGAACTGGTGAATACCGTTTCACTCCCGCCGGCCTAGATTCGAGGTCCTCCGAGAAATTTTCAATCCAAGGCAGGACCTTTACCTCGCTGTTGTCTCTCGTAGGCCTGGACTATATCGGGAGCTGTCTCTAGAAGTTCAGATCTCGTAAACCAGCGGTCGTCTTCCGGTTCTTGATAACTAAAATGAACCTTGTATTGTTTCTCCGGAAGACCCCTACCTCCGGTTCTGAAGACATCTTCAGCCACTATACCATCAACGTCATATCTTCCATCCATATCTGGTGGGATCATCGATCTACGGGATGGAAACTGATCACTTGTTTGACAAGGTAATAACTTTGATGCATGGAAAACTGGGTAAGTGTGGAGGTGTGCTGGGAGTTTTACAGTGTAGGACGGTCCGTCTTCGCCGCCCTTGACTTCTAAGACTGGCCACGGTCCTCTATAGGTGGGCAGTAACTTCTGCGAGATGTTCTCCTCAGGTGTAAACTCTTTAGAACTAACCCAGACTAAGTCGCCTACTTGAAACTGTGAGGGGCGACGATGTTTATTCGCTTGTTCTATCATCCTATGCTGGGCTTTCCTGAGGTTTTCTACAACAGTAGCTAGTTCTTTTTCGTGCTGTACAGCAAACTCCTTGGTCCCGGGCGGCAATCTGTGAATCTGATCGCGGTTGAGTCCCTCAAACGGTCTGCGCGGTCTAAAGGACTTGTGCAGTTCGTTGGGAGTGCGGTAGGTGGCTAGATGCACACTGTTATTGTACGCACTAGCTACTTTAGGCAACATCTCATCCCAGTTAATCTGATCTGGCCTAATATACATGCGCAGAACTCGCTGCAGGATCTTGTTCATTTGCTCTGTCTGACCGTTAGTCTCTGGATGGCGGTCGGACGACATCAACAACTTAGATCCGTATACTCCCATGAGTTTTTGCCAATTCTGGCTAGTAAAGCGACCATCTCTATCGCTAACTATAGACAGCGGGATTCCATTCTCACTAACCCAACAGTCAAAGAACCTCTGTATGACTAAATCAGTACGCGCCTCAGAAGGCAAAGGAACAAAAACTGCATACTTGCTAAAGCGGTCAACTATGACCATAACTTAGCTCTTGTCATGCCTGCTCTTGACTTGAGTGTCCATGAAATCTATTGACACTGAGTCTCCCGGCTGATCCGGAATGGGCAAGGGTCTGAGAAGACCTAGCGGGGCTCGCGTAGAACTCTTGTTACGCTGGCAGACCTTACAACTGCGAACATACTCTACGCAGTCATTCTTCATCCCTGGCCAGGTATACGCGCGCATCAGATTGGCCAAAGTCTTTTGCCAACCGAAATGACCCTCTGTGTCGTGACATTCCCCCAGAATCAGACTACGGATCTCTTCGCTATTGGGGATGCACAGCCGGTCAAAGACATTAGTCTTCTCGAAGGGTAACCCTTCAGTAGTGCGGTAGTTCGGCTCGGTCTCTGGGGCCTCCTTGACTTTCTTAAGGAGCTCACCATAGATAGGGTCCTGCGCGTAGGCTTCTCTAACCTGCTGCTGCAGATCCTTTCCTATATCGAGGTAATGTACTATTGCCCCAAAATAATCAGCTCTCCTACTCAGAGCATCCGCAACTACGTTGCACTTCCCTTTGACAGGCTTGAGCTCAAAGTCGTACTGATCTATCTCTGCGGCCCACCTAGTAAGCTTAGGTGTCATCTTGGCCTGCGTCTTTAACCATCGTAATGTTTCATGGTCAGAATAGAAGTGCCTCCCAAGCAAGTAGTGCTTCCAGTGGTCTAATGCTTGCCTGAGAGCCTAGAGTTCCCTGTCGTAGGTAGATGTCGCGACCTTCTCTGAAGGCATCCTGGCGGACATGAACTCTACGGGTCTATAGCCATTGCCATCGTCTTGCTGTAACACTGCGCCTATGCCGTACTGGCTAGCATCCGTAGTAACGACAAAAGGCAAGGACGGATCGGCGACTTTAAGGACTGGATACTCTATTAATGCCTGCTTTAACTTCTTCATGGCAGACGTGCAGTCCTTATCCCACTTCCAGATGGTCTCCTTCCTCAACAATCTGCGAAGGGGCGCAGCGATGGTGGAGAAGTTCCTCAAGAACTTCCTGTATTAATTAGCTAAGCCCAGGAACGAGCGCAACTCTGTCAGCGTACGTGGCGTGGGCCAATCTCTACTCGCTGCGATCTTGCTATCCTCTGGCTTAACGCCATCTCCGTCTAAGACGTGGCCTAAATACAAAACTTGGGTCTTCGCCCAATCACACTTCTTTGCATTGATCTTGAAGTTAGCTTCCCTCAGCTTCTCCAAGACCTGCCTGAGATGACCCTGGTGCTCTTCGAGGGTCCTACTAAACACGAGAATGTCATCTAGATAAACTACGACAAATCTATCTAACCATGGCCTAAACAAATCATTCATACAGCGCTGGAACGTAGTTGGCGCGTTGGTTAGTCCAAAGGGCATCACTATAAACTCATAATGCCCGTACCTAGTCCGGAAAGCTGTCTTATACTGATCATCAGGATGTACCTCTATTTGATGATATCCGGACTTTAAATCTACCTTAGAGAAATATTTGGCCCCCTGCACTCGATCTAAGAGATCGTCTATCCTCGGCAGTGGCTCAGCATTCTTCACTGTAATAGCATTTAGACCCCTATAGTCTATGCACATTCTCAGCTCTCCCTCTTTCTTAGGAACAAAGAGAACAGGCGCTCCGAAAGGGGACGAATTGGGCCTAATCCAACCCTTCTCGAGGAGCTCGTCTAACTGCTTGCGAAGCTCCTCTAACTCCCATGGGGACATCCTATATACAGCGCCCTTAGGAGTCTTACTGCCAGGCTCTATCTCAACATGGTGCTGGATATCGGCGGCTCGGTTAGGTCCTTGAATTCTTCCAGCAATTTGG